AGTGGTGCCCCCACTTGATGCCCAATAATTGCTTTATCATGGCGGCCTCTCAAGAGAGAGGAATATCATTTTACCATTCAATGGCAATGCGGGGGGAGGAGGAGAGAATATGCTCGGAACACCCAACTATAACGAGAACTATAAGGAAATATTGGGCATTGTTGTATGCCCCATGTCCCCTGCCCCCCTGCCGTATCAACGTGTATTGTTATGGCATGGAGTCATTTTAATAGGTCATCATATTAAGGGATTCCATTGGGCCGTGCTCATATGCTTTCTGGTTATGTTGTTGTGCCAGGAGGCAGCCAGCTGAAGCTGTGTTTGTGTATCGATTGTTGCGTTTGGGCCAAGGATATGCTGTTTCTGGCACCCACTAACACTCCTCCTGCAGCCTTCAGCGACTCTTGGTTATTGGCCATTTGCCATGCGCTGACATGTGCGTTTAATTGCGTTTCACTTATTTGACACAAATTAATATGGCACTCGCCAATGGCACCCCACCCAGAGACTCTGCTCCACAGTCAGAGAGACTGGCCTCCTGCTCCTCTTCCTCTCAATCCACAAAAGTATGCTATAATTTCGGGCTGCGCGTCCCTTTGTCGAGCCAATTAAATATTTCTGCCACAATTCACAGCAGCACAACTTGGAATGGAAGCAAAAGAAAGCAAGTGAAAGCATTTCAAAAAATACTTATAAAGTTCTACCCCAGGGTGGGGGAGTGGCTGGGTGCCGCATCATAAATCAAATTATGATGACCGAAGGAGAAAATAGAAGAAGGCCAGAAATAATGGGTCAGGAAATGCTGCTATCAAGTGCAGTCAAGGGACAGCCATGAATAGGCCCGAAAGTAGTGGCCACCCGTAACCCTTGACCATTTTCGAGCTTTCAAAGTTTCGTTTGCCAGTGTTTTATGTTATTAATATTAATATTTGTAGCAGAATGTGTGACCAAGGGGCAGGAGTAAGAGCAGGGACATGTATGTGTGTGTACACATAATTATGCAATTTAATGAGTTTTCTGTCTCGTTCCCTTTGCTGTCACAGCCATTCCTGTGGCGAAAGGGGATATCCCTCTGGACAGCAGCTGCTGCACATGTGCATAATTCATTTTGAAAAATTAAGCCCTGTTTTAAAAGTAATTTCTGATATGGGGATGCGAAAGAAACATATCCGTGACAGAGAGAGCCAGGAGCCAGGAGCCAGGTGGAAGGAACACTGTTACAAAAATGTTTGCTGACGACAATGAAAGGGGGTGCTGTACTGGGTGGCTGTACTGGGGGAGAAGAACAATGATGATGATGATGATGATGATGCGGTTGACTTTGTCACAACTTGACACGAGTGACAAGAGGAGAGTATGGGGCTGTGTCAGGAGGAGCCTCTGTGCAAGCCTCCTGTCTACTGCTGTTGATGTTTGTTCTTGGGGAGACGACCCACAGCATTTTCCGACCATAAATGGAAGGAAAACTCATCGCAATCAAATTGACGTATAAAGAAGTCAGCGGCATCAACAAAGTCCCCGTTGCTGTGGCTCCTGCCTCTTGCCTTCTGCCCTCTTCCCTCTCTGTATGCTTCCTGCTGTCTCTGTTTTTCCTCTCAACGCATGGCAGACTTTTAAAGGCCAAAAAGGTGCCTCAGTCTCTCTCCTGCCTCATGTGACGGCTCTGTGTGTGTGTCACGTACAGCATTTAGCATTTATTGTCTCCAGGAGAGGCCCACACAAAAATTCAATTGAAAAAGTTGTCCCCCAAAAGGTGTGCCACACACACACACAGAGAAAGAGACTCTCCTGCTATTGAATGGAAGATGCAGAGATTGTCACCCAAAAATCGTTGACAAAAGCTGTGGCACCCAGCGGCACATATTTCTCTTTCTAAAGATTGAGATTTCAAGTTATGAGTAAAATAGTAGGAAAAGTAGGCAACAGTTTTATATTTTTGATTAAAACATAACTTACGCCCACAGCCACTCCTTTGCCGCTCCCGAGCGGTGCCCCTTTACCTCTCTCCCAGTGTGGAATAGCACTGAAACTTCTGATAGAATATTTGATTGAATTTGTAAATGGAAATGTGCTTAAAATGGCAAAAGAATAGAAGTTTATATGCAGATAAAATCAGATGGGAATAAAACGGGAGTTAGGTTGAATGGGTGAATGGGATGAGATGTTGGTCGTTGGTGAGTCTTTTGTGATTTGTGGCATTGTTTTTGTCATCGTTTACTCTCTCACACACAGACAGATTTACGACAGTCTTCTCCAATGGGAAAACTAAAGGAAAATTAGAAAGCAAACCGGTTTACCCAGATCCCAGACATTGGCATTTATATGTAGGAGTTAATTAAAAGAAAACTAGTTATACTGCTGCTGCTGCTGCTGCCACACTCCTTCCTGCTTCTCCTTCTACTGTTCTTTTCGTTCCTCCTTCTGCAGCGCATCACCTTCGCTTCATCCAAAAGAAAAAGTCATTAAAAAGTAAAGAGGCAGTCGACAGACGACAGTGCGTATGATTGATAATGAGTTGAGAGTTGAAATGAAATGAAATGATAGATGACATCCTACTAGACAGAGAAAATATACAGCGAGAGAGAAGATAGCAAGATGATGGCAGATGTTTCCCATTTTTTTGTGTCTGGAAAATGCACCAAAAGAATGCAGGATTCTTGCAACGGGAAGCTTTTATTTCATTGCATTCTCCGACACTTTTTCTCTGGGTTTGTTCCCCCTTCTCTGAGTCTTGAGTCTCCTTCGCCTCCGTTGTGTGACCGAAGGAGCTGTCATTGTTGTCCCAGCTGTTGTCCTGCTCCTCCGGCTTCTCGCTGCTTGCGGTCTGTGATTGTGTGCAACCTTTTGCGGGTTATCGCTGCGGGCTACTATCCCGGACAGGACCCGGGTAGGTCAGGACTCCCAGCTGTGACTGGCTTTCAATGGCGGTTCCATTGTCATACCTGTAGAGCAATTTACATATTGCCAGAGACAACTGAGGAGCCCAAAGAGGTTGCAAGTGCCACAGAGAGGACACAGAGAGGTGGCATTTGTAATTTCTAATTTGTGTTATCTCCGATGCGGGCATATGGACAGTTGATTGAACCTTTTGACGGGCTTATGGGATTGGATATCTGATAGAAATTAAAGAACATCAAAGATTTTCATCTTTCAAAGAAGCACACAGGGACTGCGAGTAAATTTAAGGACTCTTCGCAGTAAGGACCACGATATTGTGTTCCTAATTGGGGCATCTAAAATGCAAAACATTTTCGGAGAAGAAAAACCTGCAAAAACTTGCAGTAGAACTTACACCGCCGCCGCAAAACTATGAAAATATTCCTTTTTATGTGGTTTAGGTCTCTCACTTAAAAGTCTGCTCTATCCACCATTCCAGCAATTTGCATTTATAAATATCATAGTTGGGAGAGGAAGGGAGTGCCTGCCGAGTGCCTTAATCACCTTTTACCAGCAGAACACGATTCTGTTCTCCGTTTCCCTGTTCAAAAGTGGTGTTCCTGGGGAGAAATTCAAATTGGTCCTAACAATGTCGGAAGCTTTTTGCGGTTAGTGCTTTGTGGCTAGTGTCCTGTCAAATGTTAAGTGCAGCAGATCTACCCAAAAATTATGCGCATTTTGTTAGTTCCAGACTTGGGGACTGCTACGAATATTTCTACTGCTTCCTCTCTCTCTCTCTCTCCCTCTATCCATTGCTGTACAATCTCTTGGTGTCTCTTTTCGTCTGAGGTGGACTCTCGAGACACCGTTACATGGGGAATTAGTGTGCATAATTTCATAAAAAATACAACAACAAAAAAACCACTCCACAGTAAGAGAAGAAGGGGGGAAGAAGCGACAGCGAGGAGGAAGCTTTTGGCAGTCATTGCGTTGGTCTGCGCAAATATTTTTGGTATCCCCCGGGAATGATTTTTTTTCAGCTGCTTCTGCTGCTGGCAAAACATTTGTATTTATGTATGTATGTATGTACATATGCATATGTAAATACATACATCAAGTTATGCTGGGAATTCGTACGCTCAAAAAAAAAAGGAGGGAAGGGAATTAAAGAGAGGGAAACAGTGGGCGAGGGAGATAAAGAGAGGTAGGGTGGTAAATAAAGAAATGGAGTGGGAAAGACAGCGCAGAGGCAGTAAGATGTGTGTTTCTGCTTGCGTGTGTGTGTGTGCTGTACCAAATTGCACATGAAGTGATTTCAAGCGTAAGAAATGCCTCACAACAGCACACAAAGTACAGTACATCAATATTACATGTACATAAATATATATACGAGTGTATATACACATACATATGTATGTGTATGTATGTAAGTACATCTGCGTCGCAGCTTCGCGTTTTTGTGAATATGCACAAAAACTTGGCGCAGTTTCAACAACAAAAATTCTCAAAAAAAAAGATGAAATGGAAGAATTTCATATCAAAATTACAAGCAGCCACAGGACGACAGGGGGGAGGGCCGGGACTTGGCGTAGGATGCATTTAAAATCCTCTGCGAATGGATGATGAACGAAAAACGCGGTACTAATGTACACGTGATTTTTAATGTTCTCTTTTTAGCTTGAGGTCCTGCTTCTCTTTGCTGGGTTCTTCTTTTGGTTGAGATATCCTGCTAATATGGCGCGCTAGCTGCTCTCCTCGGGGTCACCTTTCTGATGAAATATCCCTTTGAGTGGGTCACTTCTTCGTTGGTATCTCTTGTAGTGGAGAGATGTCCTTTGCTTAGAGATCGCCGCTTGTTACCTTCTGTTCAGGTATGCGTTTTTCCCTCCTTGTGTGGGTCTCTTTCTCCCCTCTTGTTGCACAAGTGCCGGATGCTGTAAACTCTCCTCTACACACCGAAAATTTGATTAAATGTGTGCACGAAAATAGCTTTGGCTAATTTCATGATTTATCTGGGTGGGAAAAATGTGAAATTGCAAAATTCTTAAGTGCAAAATTAACATTTCAAAATGAATATTGAAAATGATTTATCGCCAACTAATTTGCTGTTTTTCTATTTACAGGGACAGAATTCTAAATGCGTGCAGCTAAGCGACAGTATTTTTGCTCAACACTAAAATAAATATAAAGATATAGAAGAGAGATACCCTGCACTCTTCACACTTCAGAAATACAGATACAAATCTTAGCCGTGATTATTTGTTGCATTTTTTGGACAAACGGAGGAAACGAGATAGCGAGCTTAAGCCAGAAACAACAAAACAACAACAAAAACAAAAGAACAACAACAACAAAAACGTAGTACGACTAGCAAAAGACACCACCAATCTAATTTTGAACTAAAGATAAAGATAATACCACAAGAAATTAGCCAAAATCTCTATATGTTTAGAATATATGTATATTGATCATCATATATGAACAATATATAGCATAAAGTTATACATATATTTACAACAAAGCAACAACAACAACAACCCCAAGGCCTCTTCCCTAGAAAAGACGCAAAACTGCTAAGAGACCGCTAAGAGATCGCTGGTCCGATAATCAGATACATATTTTAGTCCCAGATAAGACACAGAAAGGCTTCAAGATAGATACCATGGAGGACAATAACACAAGCAGCAGTGCGGGCGGTACGTCCATCAAACACGAGGACCCATCGGTGACACTCACAATAAGGCTGATTATGCAAGGAAAGGTAAGAAAAAAGTAGATTAAAGATACATACATACATATGTATGTGCATTCAGATACTTTTATATTAAGTTTAAATGGGAATTTGATTACCAAATGGAGAAAAGGGAGGAATAGTCCTGACAACTGGCATTCCCATTCCCTTTAGCAACACTCTCCCCGTCACATTGGCGTATGCCTATTAAAATATAAACGCTTTTGTGCACACCATTGGGTTCTGTGTCACATCTTAAATATTTATGGGCTTCGTTTTTCCACCATTTTTTGTTTGGAGCAGAAATCAATAAATTGGGAAGACCCTGAAGAGAGGCCGTGAGCATACCTGGCAGTCGCAAAGGGAGAGAGAGTGAGAGAACAAACAATGGTAAAAAAAAATATACTTACAAATTACGGAGCGGCGTGCATTTTGTATGCAAATTAAAATTAAATACGCGCCACGTCACGCATTATGGCATTGCATTTAAAAGAAATTAAAAGTGAGAGGGAGACCCAGAGAAATATGAAGCATGTTTACCGTATACATATATGAGTACTATGTATAGGTAAAAATATAAAGGCCATAAAAAACCAAACAAGAGGCGAAGTAAGGCATCGGCTATTAAACAATCGTTACGGCTCCCCCAGATATGAGTAATAAAAGAAATACGCAAAAAATAAAATGCATCAATGTACAAATTGTTGCCATGACAACAAAAATATTTCACAAAAAAATATATATAAAATGTAAAAATAATAAATATTGTATTGAGCAAGTGCGCGGATCTCCTTTAGCACAAAAAACGGATGCCTGCGGCACACAGCGGGTTAAACCAGTCGCAAAAACACTGAATATTAAACAATTAAATATTAAAATGTTTACCTGTTCGTTAAAATTAACCACAAATCGTAGCCAGGAGCTTTCTGTCTGTCTGTGTGTGTGTGTGTGTGTGTGCAGTTCAATCAAGTGAAATGTTGTTTTTCTCAGCAATTTCCACCCAATACAAACATCAACGAAAACGACCCAAAGGCAAAATTCATTTTCAAACACGAAACCAAAAATACCTTACATCTGAAAATTGATTTAAGTTCAACCCACCACCCCCCACAGAACAAATCTTGTGTTTGTTAATTGTGATTCAATCAGACTTATCGCTAGAGCTTTTCAATCTTTTTATACACGGTAATCAAAGGGAAATGATCATCTAAAAAAAAACGCCTGTACAAAATCAAAGAATTCTTTTATTAACCAGTTGGAAGAATCTGTCTGTTATGATTCTTATGATTATTACATCTAGAATGAAGAAAAGTATTTTCCGTGGACACCACTCTGACACGAGTTGGAGCTTAGTGCTGTGCGTAATTGTCTTATCTCTTGATCTCCATTTCGTCTGCGAGCTTTACTCCTCTCACGCAAGACCTGCTCTCGCGCCATTGCGAGCTTCACTTCTGTTACTTCTATCGCTATATCTTCGTAGTTGATTCATGCATAGCCAAACTGACGAAAATACACTGAGAATAATATTATATATAAATTTATTCAATATATATGCATATCATTTTCCCGACGGCAAGAACAATTACTTTCTAAAGAGATAAACTATCTATTGGGTGAATGGAGTAAATCATATATATATATATACTCACTAGATCCTCAAAAATTACACCTTTCCAACACCAAATGGTAAAACCTTCCCATTAAATAGCAGATTCATACTGTGATTAATTTGCATCGGATTTAAAACATCCCAAGTGTCACCTGCTGTCTACTATGGCTATAATATTAATAATAATGATATCTCTGGCCCGTAGTTTTCGTATCGTTTCGCATAAAATGCAACTTCTGCCGCCACATGTCTACCTGCCTCGTACACTGATTCATGAACACAAAAGCATTCAAGCTAAAAAGCTGCGTTAAACAAAAGCCAGAAGAGTGCAGGGGGAACAAAAACCGACACTAAATAGCTGCTTATTTATTTAATAACAGTCAACAGCCATTAAAAACTATTATTCAACAACGTTAGCCACCAACAGCAGCAGCACCAACAACAACAATTCAGAAAAAACGCTGTCACGCAAATTCAAAGCGGATCGTCGTATCGTTTGCTGTCGTTGAGAGTCGAGAGATGAGATGAGAGATGGAGAGGCTTGCCACTTGAGATACATTAGAGTGAGAAGGGGGACGAAGAGGAGACTCTGGCTCTGGCTCTGGGCACGTGTTTGAGCTGTCATTTATCTTTCTAGCCTTATTCTCCATTTACCGCAAAAGCCAAAAGCCGTAAAGCTGAAATGCTGTAAAGCTGACTCCCAGCCAGATTTTGATGCCCAGGCAGGCAGGCAGGCAGCAGGCAGCAGGCATCGATTTAATTATACATTTTTGGCTTGATTTTTATTTTTATTCTGCTACTGCTGCTGGTGCTGCTGCTGCTGTGGTGTGTGTGAGAAGCAGGCGACAGGTGCAGAAGATAAGGCGACAGACCAATGCATCTATCGCATCCAAAGGGTAGGAGGGGAGGAACACTTTACATGATGTGTAGCTGAAAATTGGCAAAAAGGCAGAGAAATATGCTCCCCAGACGCGACAATTTATGGCAAAAATAGAAGCCAAGCAGAAGGCAGACAGCCCGCGGGCCAAAGCAGTAGACAAAGAAAAAAGCCAGCATCTGAAATCAGATTAGAAGTGAAAGGGGCAGGGTAGAAAAGAGCTCTACCAGGTAAAACCCTCTCTACTCTACACTACCGATCGTAGAGCGGAGACCTCATCCATACCCGTGAATAATTGCGCACAAGAAATAAATATATATGTACGATATTAATGTGTGTACATTTTGTAAATGTAAATTCTGTACATTTTCGCTGGGATTTTCTTCATTTTCATTTTTCTTTGTGTCTCTTTGTGCAGCACCACTCAAGGATTCGGGCAATAAATTCTCTCCCCTTCTTTTTTTGATCGATAGTTATAGATTAGCATGATTTATGCGGATTTTTCGAGCCGCCTGCCCCCCGCTGTTTATTCGGTTCGTCGTATTTAGATGTGAATAAATTTCAGGCGCAATGCAAATCATGTGGCAAAACAGGAAAAAATAAAATAAAATAAAAAGAAAAACCAACATCAACAGCAGCGAAATAATGTCAACCGATTTGGCATTATACAGAAATTGAAATGGTGATGGGTGGCTCATTGCGAGTATATCCGCGTTGAGATTGTGTTTAATTGTGCTTGGACTTGTAAGACTAGCTTTTTGAGGTAGGTTCGGATGGTTGGGTAATTACGGAGAGATAGAGAGAGCGAAACATATGATAGTTGGGATAGGTTGAGGTACAGGTAATAATGAAAGTGAAGCTGCGATTTATAGAGGTTTATCTAATTGTATTAGAAGAAAACGTAGCCCAACAAAACATCAAAAAGCAAACATGTTTTTACGGGATATGGACAAAATTCTGATGATATTTTAAAGTATACGAAAAGTACAATACTCATACAAAAAAATAATTCCCTATGTATGGTGAGGTTTTTCTCAACATTTAATTATTGATGAAACCTTTAAGCCATGATTTCCGCCCTCCTATTATCTACCAAATGATTCGTGGATCAGAGGCCGTCGCCCCCGCCTTTATTCATCTGCTCATAAATCCTCAATCCAATCAATGTTGCAATTATTTATTGAAAGAGAAGGAAAAACCAAACAGATCTATAAACTAGATATTGATACAGATATCACAACGAGCCGCATGAGAGACAAAGAACCAGACAGAGGAGGAGTGGATGGGATGGATCCCTCTCATACGGGGTGCATGTCAAGGGCACTCACTGCCAGAGTTTCCATTGTTTTTCAAGTATTTTTTGATATTTCTGCGTCTCTCTAATTAACTTTGGCTCATTAGGCCCCAGCGTGCAATTGTTGCAGTACTCTGTGAAAGTCACAGTCACTCGGAATCGAAATCGGAGACGGAGATGGAGGCAGAGAGCTGCAGCCTGAGTCAGCGGCAGAGGCACAGTCGAAGACGGAGACTCAGACGCGACCAAAGTCGTGATGCAGTTAATTAATTTATGGAAAAATATATATTTCTTAAAAAAAAAAAACAATAAAAATGAAATAGAAATAGAAGAAAAAAAAACAACTTGAAGCCATGCATTGGAGTGCAGCGACAATGTGGAAAAAAAACACCTTTTTCTTTTTTTTTTTTTTTTGTTGTTGTGTCTTTTTTCCACCTTTTCGCTACGTTTGTTCCGTTTGTTTTTCTTGGCAGCCATCCGCGAATTGCATTGAAAAGAAACGAAACTGAAAATGTGGGTTGCTCTCTCGCCCAGAATTGTCCGTGGCAGACACACAGATATTTGTATTTATTGCAGTTGCAATTGCATTTGAAATTGTTGTTGTTGGTGCTGTATTTTTAAATCATGCATTTTTAATTAGTGAAATTTCACGACGACGACAACAGCAGCAGCATAAGAGACGGGTCAAGCAACGCAGAGGAGAGAAAGGAACGAAGTCACCTTCATAAAAATTTTCATCACAGTCTGCCACATTTCCCAAGCACTTGTCTAATTTTTACTAATTTAACTATTTTTCAAATGGAGAGCACAGCACGGCTGTCGTTATGTCATAGTAGGAGAATGGATTTTATTTAGGGATACTCGTATTTGCATAGGTAGTGCCTGTAGCTACTATTAAGTTTTAGGTGTTTTAAATTAACAATTTCAATAGTTGAAAATGTTTTACTGTAGGCAGCATCTGCGAGTGGCACCCATCGTTTGGCTATTTGAACACCTGGCTATCGAATACTTTTAATGCTAGAGAGATGCGTTCTTGAGTGTAGATATTGTTTAGATACATAGAAATACCCATTATTTATGGTATTATAGTGTCTTCAATTACTACGACTGGGATTGCAAAGTTCCCTTCCCTCCCCTGCCTGTTGATGGATGTCGCTGCAGCAGACCCTTTCATTTTGTTGAAAGTGCTGCCTGCGCCTCCCTGCATGCTGCTTGTTGCTGTTTCTGTTGTTATTTAATTTAATTAAAATATTGCCACTAGCTGCGTGCGGCTCTCCTGACCCGTACCCTGAATTTGGCCCTGGAAAATTTTAAATTATTTAATTGTAAAATTTTTTGTTTTCGTTGTGTTTTCGCCTGCCAGGAGCAGAAACTGCAGCGGCAATGGCAGCAAAAAATGTGCAGGGCGACAAAATGCGCTGCATGATTTATCGGATGGAGTTGAGCGGGTGGTGGCAGGAGCAAGCGGGGCCGCACATGTGTGCCACAGCCGTCCATATGTGTCCACGACGTCGGCTCCCCCCCACTACTCCCCCTTTTGTCACATTGCATTTTCCAACATTTGTTGCAAGTTTTTCTTGCATTTTTCCTTTGCAACATGCGGCAGCTCCCATAAATGGTTCTCACGGTTTTGCAATTGCCGTCAGAGATTGCTGTGCCTGTTATTGTCGTTGTTGTTGTTGCAACTTGTTGTTTGTTCATTGTTGCTGCAATTTATTTATTTTCGTACAATTTTCAACGCCGCCACAAATTAAAAACATTACAACGAAACACACACAAAAAGCTGTGGAAAACGAGTCATGCTCCACGAAACTGTCGTCTTTCGTCTGAGGTAAAGCCCGAAAGCCGTTTGCTTGCCATTCTCCATTTCTCCATTCTTTCTCTCTGTACTTCCCCCCTTTCTTTGCATTCTTCTTCTTCTTTAATGTCTGCTCTACTAACACCAAAAACTACTCGTATCTTTTCTCTGTCTTTCTGGCCCCCCGCTGTCTCTCCGTTGCTACTTCTGGTGTTTCTTTTGTGGCCTCGACAATTAGCGTTCGTTGTCCATTCCGTTGAGCCTTAGCTTTAATGCCTTTTCTGTTATTGTTTGTCAAAAAGCCTCTCCATCGGAGTGATAAATGGAAGCTATCCGAAATTTTGCGCTCTGCTGGAAATTGTGTGGGAAAAAGAAAAAAAAAATTAGATGGGTGAATACTTGGGATTATTATGTGAAGATATGATGGTGATGCTCATGTATTTATAATGCTTGGCTAATGATACGATTCGTATCAGAAAGATTGTAAAGAAACGCTATTCGGAGTTTAGATCTAATTGGATCTGGAACCAGACAGAAAGTGGTTCCAGTAGCGACAAGATATTAAAATATTACCTCTGTTCCATTAGCAGCAAATGACTTGCGGGACTGGCTCTCTTTTCAAGCAGTAAACAATTCAATTCCTTCCATTGCAGCTGGGTGCGTTTGTTTTATTCGAATCGAATTTGTCTTCTCGCTTATGGGGAATTTTTACAGCGAACAGGGGAACAGTCTGGCAACATGGTTTAAGTAAGAGAGGGATTGGTTTCCAGTGGGACTACTTTTCCTGTGAGCTCTCCTTTATTTCCTCTACAACCCGTAAACCCCATTTAGTCATGGCTTAAGATACAAAAACCTCAAATATTGGACATCGGTGTTAACTGGGGGCACGCAAACGCTTTGGCCCCTACTAATCCCAGAATCCCCTGACAAAATCAATAAAAATGGGGAAAACGGAAAACGCAAAATGGACAATCGAAAACTTATTCCCTCCTGCTGTACTCTGAAGCGGACTATGGACCACACGGACCAGCCGTGTGCCAACCTGCATTTTCAAACAGTTTTCGCCTCCCCTGCTGCTTTGTGCTGTGTGTTGGGCGGAATGTCAACTTTTCCTATGCATATTTTAGGCACGAAAAGCTCCCATCCTCCAACCAAATCGATTCACAATCGGTATTCGAATCCGAATCCCTACTGCAAGCAAAAGCCAAAAACATTTAGCAAAAGGCTGGCCAAAATGCTTCACAGTCTCTGGACCACAAAGTGAGTTTTGGAAATTGAAAAGTGCAGAATGCGTTTGTACATTGTTGCTGGAGAATGAGAAGAATTTAACTGTTGGTCAGGAAACTGGCTAGCAAGTAAATCGATCAAAATTAAAGTCACCGAAATTTGCACCCTATTCAATGTAATGATTGGAGATAGCATAGCGGTGATAGCGGAGAGAGCGGAGTGGGGAAAGGCCAAACGATGTCAGGCGGATCCGATTTATGCAAATTGCGTAAACTTCAGAACGGAACTGGCTGGGGCCATGGAATGGGGATAATTGAATGGATATGGGGAGGGAGGTAGGCTCGCCAGCTTTGGCCACATTATTAATGATGATGAGGCAAACCGCGACCCGCGTCCAAGGCGCTGATGATGGGTACGCAGCCATCAAGCAAAAGATGAAGGGGAATGTGAATGGGAATCGGGGGATTGTGCGCCGTCTCTAGGCCACACTCAGATATATCATACAGCCACAGATGCGAGTAGATGGGCAGCAAACTTGTCCTATAAATTACCCAGAGACCATCGAAATTATTCTGCGAGTGCAGACAGGCGTAAAAACGCATCGGCGACTGAGACTCAGAGGCTCGTTCGTTTTGCTCTTTCAACGATAATTGCGCCAATAATTATGCCAATTCGCTCTGACATTTGTGTACAATAAATATCCATGGCATAGGCATAAATATTTTGGTCGCATAAGAATTGGGATAATGCCAGAGCCAGAGGAAGGGGGGGAAGATGCAACTGATTTCCCTCGCACATTGTTTTCCCTAGCCCCCTCCCCCAGTATATAGTTGTGCATTTTGTCTGGCAAACTGCCCATAGCTGAACCAAAAAAAAGATACATAATACATTGTACTAGCACAATGGATTGCTGCACTTTTTGGTGCTTCTGTGAAGGTTGCCGCCGGGATGGTTTATGGCCAGAGCAACATTTTAGCATGGCAATCAATATTAGCCAAAGTCCCAGAGATGTTGAAATATTTAGATGATAATAAATAAGGAAGAAATAAGAAGTAAAACCCACCAGGAAAGGGTTGAAGATTACCTTAAACCTGGTTTACTCAAAGGTTAAAGTAGATGAGGTATTTAATTCAATTTGTTAGCCAAATAATGTAAGATTAGATGGTTGGATTGGTGTGGGGACTTTTCTCTCTGTGAATGGCTTCAAAAAAGTCTGTAGGTTGGTAAATCCAAGTTGCCGAAAATTAAATCTCGGCGCAAGAACATGTCCATTTGAAACTATCTATAGTCTATACTGTATGTCACTTAGTAAATCTCTTTCCATGCACTCTGTCTCTCTCTCTCTCTCTGGTTTTTATGTGGAAAGTGGAAACCTCTTTGATATCTGTCAACTGCCATGTGAATGGACCACACCATATTCCGATTGATGTACATTAATACTGCTTATTAAAAATGATTGATTTATTGATACCCAACGGGTGGGGGGGGAGATGGAGGGTACAGTTTTTGAACAAAACCCTCGACCACTCCTCTTTTCCACTGTTATACTCTGGTTTCTGGCACTCTGGAAACTCAGTTACGAGAGAGCTGTGGTGTGGTGTGGCAGTGCAGATATTTACAATCAATTAAAACGCGTAAAATGCGCTGGCCGCAAATTTCATTACGTGCTGTGCGACAGTCCAGTCCGCACATTGCCACTGTCACTGCCACGCTCTTCCGCAGACAGGCAGACGGATGGGCGACCGACTGACTGACTGACTGAAAGGGAAATGGGATCGAATTGGGGCTTTTTCTGGTGGCCCACAGTGGGTAGGGGTGGAGATTACTTTTTGTGGCAATTAAATATGCAAAAGTAGTTACACACTCGCATGGATGGATGGGATGAATGGATGGATGTGTGCCTTCCCTTCCTTTGTGTATGCTCTGGAATAATATCACTTAATGTTTAATCAAATTCGAGCATCGTCGCTGACAGTGGCAGTGAAAGAAACAGAAAACAGAAAAACGAGATACAATAAAGTGCTTTTGAATGTATCTGTAACTGACAGAAAAATGGTGCGATGGGGAGGGGAGTGGGGAAGCTTTATTTTCAAGATATTGTACTACATGCCTCTAATATTTGTTTTGTTTTTTCTTTGCAGGAAGTTGGTAGTATTATTGGTAAAAAGGGTGAAATTGTCAACAGATTTCGTGAAGAGGTGAGTCTGCCGCCATCAATCTAAATGTTTAAATCCGTAGCTAAATCTGTTTGTATCTCTATCCACAGTCTGGTGCCAAAATTAATATATCGGATGGGTCATGCCCGGAACGTATTGTGACTGTGTCTGGTACAACTAATGCAATCTTTTCGGCATTTACGCTCATCACGAAGAAATTCGAAGAGGTATGTGTGCGCCAAAATTGAAACAAGAAGCAGAAACCCCTCAAATATTGAGTCCCTTCACATTACTAACTTCTGACCCGTTTTAGTGGTGCTCGCAGTTCAATGATGCAGGCAAAATTGGCAAAACTCAAATACCCATACGATTGATTGTGCCTGCCAGTCAATGTGGATCGTTAATTGGTAAGTGAACGTCACCCATTTAGTAGCCAGTGGACATGTCTCAATAATGTTTTTATCCTGCAACAGGCAAGAGTGGCTCAAAGATCAAGGAAATACGCCAGACTACGGGCTGCTCCATACAGGTGGCCAGTGAAATGCTGCCCAACTCCACAGAGCGAGCGGTTACATTGAGTGGCAGTGCCGAGCAGATCACCCAGTGCATCTATCAGATATGTCTTGTCATGTTGGAGGTGGGTACTACTCTGAAGTATTTAACGAATCTATAAACTAATTACCGTTTCCCTTCGCCCCCCATTGACAGTCCCCGCCACGCGGTGCCACCATACCGTATCGACCAAAACCGCAAGTAACTGGCCCTGTTATATTGGCCAATGGACAGGCCTTTACTATTCAAGGCAACTATGCAGTGCCCACACAAGAGGTATGTCTTCAAGGCGCTAGACAACACCGAAATAAAACAGTGTTGTTAGACAGTGAACAGTGTTGTGTAAACTCACACTCTATCGCCAGCTATCTATCTTTCTCTCTGTCTCGCTCAATCTGTCTGTGTATCTCTCTATCTTAACCGACCCCCAGACCCTTGACCCTCACATGAAAAACCAGCTAAACAAATTTTGTATCAATTAGCCCTAGACCCTCCAAAACTGTCTCTCTCTCTTTCTATTTTTTGTTTGTTTCTGCGCGTCTCACACACACACACACACACACACTATTTCTGTTCTATTTGCCTTTTAAAAACTCTTTAGTTTTCTCTCTGTCTCTCACTTTTTCTCACTATCCCCCCCAATGCTCGTCACTTTGTAGAACCGAACCCAACCGAACCGTTTATGATTTGCAAACCTCTACATTCTCTCTTTCCCTGTCTCTCTGTCTTTACTTGAAGAAGCTCTCTCTTTCTCTCTCTCTCTCTCTCTCTCTCTCTCTTTCTCCTTCTGGAGAAGAACACCCGAACCGAACCTCCGACTTGTGTGCCCCTTTTTTGATCGCCCCTCTTAACACCCAGCCACAGTTGTTTATCCCGTTTACCGCCCATCCCCCACACCGTTGTACCCAAGAGATTATTCATCTACTTTATATCCAAGTCCAAGTCCAGTCCAAGTGGTGACCCTTTTGACAACCCGACACCCCACCACGATCAAATGAACTAATGTGTTAACCGATTTTACAGCCATCAAGACTCAACGAAAAATTAAACTTAACGAAACAATTTTTTGAAATAAACTTTAAAATATGTATCTCTTTTTTGTTTTGTTTTTAGTTTCTTTTGCACTCTCTTCTCTCAGGTTAAAAGAGCGAGCGAGTGAGCCTCCTGGCTCTCTCTGCCAGCATCTGTCTCTGTCTCACTTCGAAAGTCGGTCGTCGTCGTGTGGGAAATATAAAAAATCCCCGAAATCTGAGAAAAAGAAAATCGGGGGAGGAGGCTTTGTCCAAGGCGAGGCGAGTCGTGGCGAGTCGAGTCGAGGCGCGAGTGAGTTTTGTGTGAAAGAAAGAAAGAAATGGCTCTCGGGCAGCGGGGGCTTGAACTCTCTCTCTCTCTCTGAATCTCTGTATCATCTCTGTCTCGGCTCTCTCCTCCAACTCTCTATCTCTGTGTGTGTCTCTTAGTTCTGTTCTGACGAGGGCTCGCTGGCAGCGTGTGTGGAGAAGTATGTTCATAAACTACACTAGTCCAACACCAACCAACCACCTCTATTTATCTATCAATCAACAACTCAAAAACCATCTATATCTATCATATTTATCCAATTAATCCACACAACAACAACAAACGACAACAAATATCAGATTCCTCTCTCTCTCTATCGAGTGCCAGAAAATATCAATTAATAAAAGAAACACCGAATCATAATTATTTTATAATATATAAAAAAAACCTCAGCCAAAATACAACTCGGTCTCTCTTTCTGTCTATATATACATATATATATCCTGCGTTCTATCGATCTCTTGATTTTCTGTGTAGTACAGAAATTTTGAAATTATTTAGTTTCCTTTTGCTAAAAGTTTTCAACCAAAAATAATATACAACAGCAGCAGCCCAGCCCAGTCCAGTCCATTCCAGCCTTTATTTAGATGAATTTCGTTTAGAGAAAAAATAAAAAACCATCGAATACCAGAGTACACTCGTGTCGATGCATACAACAATGCCATTAGCAACTACAACTACTGCAACAACAACATACTGTTCGAATATTCGTCCTGCCCGAGCCCTCCTCTCACATCTCTCACTGTCTATCTCTCTCTCTCTCTCTCCAATCTCTCTCCGTATCAATAAGTATTGTTTATAACTCTGTTTAAAATCCCGCAATTCAATTTTGTGCTATAAAACAAAAACCAAAAACAACAACAACAGAGCCCCTTGCGTCCAGTCTGCAGTACAATTCTGTGCCATTCCATTCCGTACCGTTCAGTACAGTCATCTGTCCATTGTCCCTTCAGTGCACCACTCGACAGCCAAGTAAAACAACAACAACAAATATGAAAACTTTTGCTCACAACTAAAAACAAAACTAAAATGTTTTGTTGTTGTCACATCAAATTCAATTAATGTCCAGCAATGTAATAAATCAACCAAAAAAAAAAGTTGTATGTTCCCCCTCTATCCACTCGCACTCTCTCTCTCTCTGAATCTGTGTCTCTCCCTGGTCCTATTGTCGGTGTTGGTTTACCATTTTTTGTTTGTTTTTTTTTTGCCTAAAGCGGCGACGTGCAGTGTCTATAAATCCCTCTCAACGCGTTTCACAGTTGTCCATTTGGGTACAGTTTTGAAAGGTACAAAGGTACACTCTATTACCAGTGGTACATTTTTACTGAAGTTGAAAAACAGTGTTGTAAAACTGCAAGTGTGGGATACCACATAAAAATAGTTAAACTGTACCCGAAATGATTGGCAGCTTTTACTTCCATCTCCGCTAACTTTTTGACATGAGTCTCACATTTGTTCTATAATTTCTATCATGTCTCATGGTTTTTGATACCCTTGGAATACCCCTGGACCACTAGTTTGCCCTCTCTCTCTCTCTCTCTTCATTTGTTATTGTTATTATTGTTATTCCCCCCGCCTCCGAATATAATTTATTCTGTTGAGCGTTTCCCAATTGAAGCCTGCCCATCGATCTGCCCGCCCTGCCTTTGCACACACACACACAAACACACACGTTTCGAAAGCTTTTTCCGAGTTTCTCTAGCGATATTTCTATGTATTTGATAAGCTTAAACATCTCTCCATAGCAATTACAAAAGTTAAGATTTAATCAAATTGTTGCAATTCATTTATTTGTGGTATACAACTTTCGTACTTTTCTTTCTTCTTTGGCAAAATATTTTCAACCGAACGAATACGAAACCAAAAAAATTACTGTTACTTCGCACACACACACACGCAACACGCACACACAATCGAAAAAACTCAACTGAATCCATATTAAAAAAAAAAAAAAACAAATACAAAAAATAAAACGTAGACCTGTCCAGTATTTCCACTTGCCCTGGCTGCCGGCGGCCTACATGCTGGTATTTCAGGCTTGGCGGATCCTTTGTTAAAGGGGGCACATTTACAAGGAGCGGTACCAGCACACCACCATCACCTACAGCAAATGCCCGATGTGAGTTTTTAGATATCATCCTCCTCCGAATTCCGCAATGGTTCAAGAACTGCCAAACCAACCACAAAAAATCTCCAATTCCAACTCCAAACAAATCTACCAAAAAAAAACTCTATCAAAGAAACAAACTACTGTATAATCGAACCCCGCCCCTTATAATCGTATCCCCCCGCCCAGACAGAGCATGATGTTGCTGTGCCGCTGTAGCTGTACCCTCCTGTATCTTTCTGTACCCCTGTATACCCTAAGCCCTGCCCTATGCCCTATGCCTGCCTGTATGAAAACACCCACTGTATGAATCCCTAGATAGTTTGTATATTGCTGTTGTCGTTCCCCTAGTCAACCTCCAACCGTTAAAGTTTCCGTAGTTTGTGTGTTGTGTACCATCTTTACTACCTTTGGCACTTCTTTTATGATCCCCCCAGTAGCATTGCGTTGCGACGCTATTTCAATAACATTAGCATTGGGGCCAGCTCACGAGTGTGCCGTGTCCCGCCGCAGCCACTGTCGCCGCCACAAAGTTGCCGGTTGCCAGTGGACAGCAGCAACACTAAAAATCAGGCAACTGAGGGACACGGAAACCCATACAGTACAGAATCGTCAGTACATCCCTCCCATCCACAAAAGTCATCAACAAATGCATTTTTACTGTCGTAAACCCCTTTTCCACTCCACTCCAACCACTCCACTCCGCTCTCTCCTGCCCTGCCCTTTCAAGTTTCTTGTAGTTTTCGTGAAATGTTTTAACTTGTTTTTCGGTCTAGATATTGTACAGTGTGCAGTCGCGAATGTTTGTTAATATGCCAACACACAACAACAAACACACAGACACAGAAGTTTTTATGACAGTTCTCTGCCAGATAATTCATTGTTGGTAGACCCATCCAAATCCCTCCATCCGCCGTCTCGCACTGAACTTTTTTATTGAGTTGCAATTCATTTTTGGGTCATAAAATATTTCCATGGCGCATGTTTTATTTGTTTCATTTGGGGAATTTCATTGCATATTGCATTCTGATAAATATTTCAGTTTAAGTTTTCTAAGCTCTGACACACAGCAACACACACACACACAGTACACACACACAGACAGCCATGCACCATGCACCCCACACAAAGCAATTTCAATATTGTATGATTTATATGAGATTTTCTCTTAGTTCTAGTTTTCCCAGACCCCCCACACACAACCAGCACCAGACCCACACCCAGTCCCCCAACATTCTCTCTCGCTCTCTCGTTCTACTCGATTTGAGAGCTGCTTTTGGATGCATTTATTCGAAACTTATTCGCAAGTGCTCGCATTTGATTTGATTAATTTATAAAGCGCGTGCATATCCTAGTGTACCCTAGCCCTAGAGTCCGCCCTACATTCGTTTGCACCCTTGCTGCCACATGTGTGCCGTGTGGAAAGCTTTATATTTGTACGAGTACGAGTATAACTATATCATGTATATCATGCACGCGGCGGGTCTCACTCTCTCTCTCTCTGTGGGCAAGTTACATATGTATTTACATATATGTTATTTGCTGTAGGTGTCAGTGGTGGAAAAATGAAGAGAAAAATATGAGCAAAACCCCCTCATGCATAGGAGAGAACTTGACGATGTTCCAGATCCAGGGGTTACAGATTGTGGAGAATATTTATAGCTCTCAAGGCGAAGCATCCTCCATCCCATTTAAATACTGTACATACATATGGATGAGGTGTATTTCCATTGTATATCCAATTAATGTCTGAACATAGTTGCTATCCAACCATTTCTTTCTCTCTCTTTTTGTCTATGTACCCTCAAATTGTTTAAGCTAAACTCTTGTAAATTTTTGTGTAGAGTCCATGTACCAGAGAAACATTATTCCACGAACCCAAACTGATATATACGACAAACACATTCCACACATACACACGTACCACACGCTTTCACACCAAAAATTATGTATAAAAAAAAAATATACGAAGTGTAAAAAAGAGTCAAAGATGTTGATGATGTTGATCCTGTTTTGCTTTTGCTTATTGCATTCTGTTGTTGTTGTTTTTGTTAAATGCTTTTTGCGCTCCGTTCCCATACTGTTTCCCGTTTCCCGTTTCTATTTTAATTTCAGTTTCACTTTCCTTTGTTCCCTTTTGTTAACTGTTATTGAAAGTTGTACGCGCGTTGTGTTGTGATCTCTCCCTTCCAACCGATCTATCCCCGAAACAGAACCCAAACTGCCCCTCAAGAATATATATATAAAACACACACACACACACACACTATAACCAATGAAGCCCCTGAATTTAAGAATTAACCCTAAAACGAATTATGAAATCTATACTAATCGATGCTCTTCGTCTATGTTCCTTCTCCTCCCCGTTTTTTTCTTATTTATTCCAAGCAGGTGGCCAAGAACCCGTTGGCCAGTCTGGCTGCCCTGGGCCTGGCTGGCATGAACCCAGCCAGCACTGGGGGCATCAACCACACAGGTGAGTTGAGCGCTTCATCGATCAGAGGCCAGGCAGATTTCCAATCTAATCTAGGCTCTGCCCCAGCAGCCCTGGCTGCACTGGCCGGGTCGCAACTGCGTACAGCCAACGCTGCCAATCGCGCCCAACAGCAGCAGCACGAGATGACCGTGTCCAATGATCTGATCGGTTGCATTATCGGCAAGGGTGGCACCAAGATTGCCGAAATCCGCCAGATATCCGGCGCCATGATCAGGATCTCCAATTGTGAGGAGCGCGAGGGCGGCAATACCGATCGCACTATAACCATTAGTGGCAATCCCGATTCGGTGGCCCTGGCCCAATACTTAATCAATATGAGGTGAGTGCTGCCCCTGTGCTACATATATCCTTATGTACTGTCCACTGTCTGTGCGTATGTCTTTTTTTGTCTTTATGTTTATTTATGTGTGTGTCTGTGTCAATGTCAATTTTGTCGAATTGATTGGCTAATTGACCAAAAGTATGTAAGGTATAAGGAGGTCGTCGGTCATCGTTAACCAGTCGGTACCAATCGGTAACCATGTTAGCACGGTCTCTCTCTCTCTCTCTGTCTCTCTCTCTCTATCGGTCGTGGAGTGGCGGCTCGTTCAAATGGGGTTTCAACGGGGAGTGTCGAGGAGTGGGGAGGGCGAAGGTCAAAGGTCAAAGGTTAGCATAACCATAGCTTAAGCCACAAAACACACATGTCGTAGTCTATAAGTCGTAAGCCCTGCGAAGCCTCATGTCCAGCACTTTCTACCCTAGATCATATATCGCTACAGAACTCTACTAGCATTACGATTTGTATAACAAACTGTATAACTGATACTCGTACAATATATAAACCTCTAGCATCTAGTATTACCAAACAAACAAAAACCATGTATTATATAACAGTTCAGCAGGCCCCAGCCAGAGCGGAGGAGGATGATCATGATCTCATGATCGAAATGTGATCAGGCCCAGCCGCCGCCATCAGCTCGAATCAATCAACGCATCGCACACTCTTTTCACACAACAGAAAACTAATAAAATGATATATGCTCTCGTAATGCTGGACCGACCTGATCCAATTGGTACTTCAAACTGCAGTTCAACTCCAAAATTATCCTCCAAAAACCTCTCTCACCCCTCCAAAAATCAAACACCGAACCGTATATCCCTCCAACCACAGTTCATCCTCCAAAAACCTTTAAACAAAAAAAAAAAAAACATAAAATAAATACCAACTCTTTCGGTCCATGTCTCCCAATCTAAAAAAATAAAAAAAAACTTTTGTTCTTCTAATCCTACCATCCAAAATTTGAACGCCGCTCTCCCCACCAAAACCAAAACACCCCCAACTCAAAAAAAAAAAAGCTTAAAACAGCTCTCTTTTTCTCTCTCCGTAAACTCCGAACCGTTCCTCCACACAAAACCTCCTTAACCTTTTGCATAAACACTAAAAAAAAAAAGAAAGAAAAAATAATCAACCACTCAATTCCACAAAATCGAAAGAAAAAAAAACCAAATGTTTTGAAAATACCTCTCACCCAAAAACCGAAACAAATACCAACAATATCCCAATTTGTTCCTTTCTTTCTCTCTCTCTTTCTATCTACCTTAACCGAACCTCATCCACAGCGTTGAGCTGCAGAAGGCCAATCTCCTGGAGCAGGCCCAGGCCCAGCAGAACGGTGGAGCGGCTGCTGTGGGGGGAGCTGGAGCTGTACCCGGAGCTGGGACCTCCGTCGGTACATCCGCTGCGGGCACCAACGGAGCCCTGACCACAGTGGCCCTCGCCGCAGGAGGAGCAGCAGCTGCAGCTGCAGCAGCAGGTGGAGGCAGCAATGGTAGCCCCACGGGAGCCGCCAACGGCAGCAGCAGCTCGATTAGCAGCAATGGCAGCGTCTCCGCCTCATATGCCAGCGTCAATGGCGGCAACCAGAGCACTGCCGGAACCCCCAATGGCACCGCGGCCGGGATCAATCCGGTGGCTGCCGCTGCCGCCCTCAACAGTCCTCTTGCCTCGGCATTGCAGCTGCTGACCAAGCCGGGCGCCCTGAGCGCCCTGTCCAATCTCAGTGCTCTCGATCTACTCAGCCTCACGTCGCTGGGCAACGACAACGGCGGCTCGCCGGGCGGACCGCCAGTGCAGACGACCGGCGTGAATCGCGGCAAGGGACATTACGCGCGGTTCCGCCAGCATCAGGCTGAGACCGGGGTCGAGTCGGAGAAGCAGCGCAACAAGTTTAATCCGTACTAGGAGCAGGGGGACGCCTGCCCCGAAGTGCCGCCAGATCAGGCCTGGAGAGGGAGCGGAGGGGAGAGGCCGATCAACGATTGATAGTCGCTTAGTTTTGTAGAATTTTTGCATGATTTGTGCATAGCGTTGCGAAAGCTTTAGGGTTTAGGTTATTGAACAAAAAGAAACAAACAAAAAATGTATAAATTCGGTTCAGTTATTCGTACCCATTGATGGGGTACACCCCAATTCGTATTGATATTCTTATTCGTTTTCGAAAATTCAAGACAATTTTTACATCTAGTTGAAGCCACAGTATCCGAGTAGTTGATAGACTTATGCAATATTTATCAATGTTTTCGAAACACTTAACTAAACAAAAGATAGAAACGCCAGTTAGGGCAGCTAAATCTATAGTATCCATACATCGTACATCTACTTAATCGATCGGAAAGAAAAGGAAAGGAAGCAAGCACTTGAACAATATTACGCGTATCGAATATATAGGAGAACAGAGTCATCATCTGTGAGTGGCCCAATCAAGATTTACTGACCAAGTGACCAAGGACCCTAGTTAACCCTATGTTTAGACAGTTATAGATTTTCACATCCCCCAAAATACCCTTTGATATATCCAAACTAATATATATAGTACATACATACATACTAATATCGTACATTATAGAATTTGCCAAATTTTAGCGCATCTCAAGTAGAGTTCTTCGAAGCATATACTTATACTTACATATATACTTATAGTTAGTACCGAGTAGATCACATTAGTCGAAGTCTAAATCGAATATCGATAGAAAACAGGAAACGAGAGTATAATTTAGCCATCACCACCACCACAAACAATCTTTCCCCCAAGCCATTCATTGTAACATATAACACACGCTCCAATATCTTATAATCAATCCATTTTACTCCTTTTAGCTTGTAAGCACAATGTATTTTATCCCTAAAAACCTATTGCCTATACCTATAATCCTATACTCCTATACCCTATCCATACATACCTATATATGTATACTTATATCTAGATTGTAAGCATAAAGACCCCAAAAGCCATTTGTCAAGAAGCAGAAGCCGAAAGCATATGAAAAATGAAATGAACTCAAAAGAAATGAAAATAACCTTCTATAAGAAGTCAACAAAACAAAAAATTCCAATGCGTTGCGCCCCCGCCCGCCCGGTGCCAAATCTCGGCACGGGGGGCGGGGCCAACGACCTTTATGGACCAATTCGCTCTAATTGACACAATCCACGCAATGAGCGTACAAAAACCAAACTATTTGAATAGAGAACAAATTAGACAGAGAACAGAGAAGAGCCAAGAGCCTGAAGAATTCAGATGAAGATAAAGATGATGAAATGAGGAAGAAAAAAAACGTTATTATGTATTAGACTTGAAGTCTTCAATTGTTTTACCCTAACCACTATTTTTTATTCTGCCCCCTGATTTATTATGTATTTATGCGATTGTTATTATTTGTAGACACAAAAACTGTTTTTGAATTTGGTCGAAAATGATGTTGAAAAGTATTTGGAAATTGAAATTTCTCTACCCTTAATGTACACGACATAACTGTAGTTGCTAAGCGTAAACCATAATTGTATGATTTTTCATATGATTAATATTATTATTATTATTACTAGTAGACGTAAGACACAAAGGACACACCATATGTAACACCTTAAGCTAAGCGGGCTTACGATTTTATAACCAAATTATATATAAAAATAAACATAACATAATTATACATATACATACATCATACATACATGCATACAATCCCGTACATACATACATATATGCAAACCTACTTATATGAAACATTTAAACAGAGTTTGTTCAGAGACATTGGAATACGAACGAAAACAAAAACTCCTCTTATATTTGAATGTAATAATAGTAATTCTTGAATTCTACTACGAAAACATATACATAGACACACAGCTGCTATAGCTGCTACATACATATATAGAAAGCTTTTCCTGTAGCTCCTCTGTTTCGTAATGGAGGGAGATCAGCCAGAAAGAGAGCAGCCACAGTAAACTCTATTTATATGCAAAAAGAAAACAATGATGGAAAATACATGAATTTGTAATAAAGTGAAAAATGAATACTAAAACTATATAGTATATACATATATACATATGTGTCTGTCCTGTTGGGGGGTTCTTCTCAGATATTATATGGGTCGGGTGGAAGTGTCCCTAACTTGAAATTCATTGAAACAAAGTCTTACTAAATAATCTCTTTCTGCGTTCTAGAATATCAATGGAGACTGCTGGTCTGCCCATACCCGGATATCACTATATTGCGCCCAGTGCAATTGTTAAAACACCCATTCACTAAGTGCAACAATCAACAACAACAATAAACAAACAACCAACAAACAACCAACCAACAATCAACCCAGCAATCAAGCAGAAATAACAGCAACAACAACAGCAACAGCAAACAAACCCATTGGAAATCGCAGGAGGAGGACGGACAGGAGAAGCAGCCGCAAGCGAAAAAGGAAACGTCAAATCTTTAATCATAAGCAATATATGAAGAGAAAATCAGAAACACAAGAACAGTTCTCATATGAATACTGTCTGGAAAAATCATACATTAAACACACACTCCCACACCTACACCCACATTCACAGACGGACCACACTCATAGGAAGACCGACCCATACATACGCGTTATATTTATTCATTGATTCTTATTAATTATGATATTTTTGATTAAGTTTTAAATGCAAAGGCAAATCAAACACAAGAACTTTTATGTTGAACCGTTTTCAACGGGGAAGACCCCCTCACTATTGGTTTGGGCGGCGACCCCGCACAAGTAAGAACAGAACAGCAATTAATTCTAAGCTTAGTCAAAATGAAGACAAAATAAACTAAAAAGAACAAAACAAAAAAAAAAACAAGAATAAAAAAATAAAATAGTTAACCACAATGCATACAAGAAGCAAACAACAAATAAAAGATGAAAGATGAAAGGAAATATAAGAAAGTAAAGTAAAGCAAAGCAAGAAAGGCAACCATTTCGAATGCAGTTAATTTTAAGCCATTTACAAGTAATTGTGCATGAGCATGACCAAAAAACGGGACAGCAAACGAGCGGAAACACAAGAGAGAGACACAGAGAGAGAGAGAGAGAGAAGCGAGAAAGATTTAAGCATAAAGTGAAGGGATAGGAAAGGAAAGAGACAAGCAAACCAACAAACAATCGACTCGAACCACAAAAACAGATGATTCAGATTAAAAAGGCATTATATGTATGTATGTTTTATGCGCTACAATTGAGCAGCAGCGATGCGTTTGTTAGTTGTGTTTGTGTTTGTTCAGATGTGTATACATACATATGCATATATATTATATATAGACACGGCGATATATTGATACGATAATTCATTATTTTATTATTTCTATTATGGTAATTGTTATCGAAATTGTATTTGTGATTTTTGAATATGTTTAGACTGATGTGCAAAATTGATTCTGTTTATTGATTACGACTAAAACTACACTTTAATGATTATGGACTAATTAACTAGTTGTCACCCCCATCCCATCCCTTCCCTTTCGTTCCGTTCCGTTCTATCTATATCTACAATATATCCCCAATTCGAAATTAGTTATAAAATGCGAACTAGCCAAGGATGGGATCTTCCATTGGGGAGACCAGACCTTCTTTCGTACGAGTCTGTATCCAAAATTGTTATGGTTTCTTTCGTTCGGTTTTTAGTGAAAATGCTTAATGCCAATACCATATTTACAAGACCTAAAAATTAGCAAAAAAAAAAAACAAAAAAAAGAACAATTTGAATTACAATAATATCTTTTAAGCACTTTTGCGGCGATTAAAAAGACTTTTTTCTGGAGCGCAGAAAAAACGAGCAATGGATTTACATATTATATTACAATTATGCTTAAATTAAAGTATAATTTTAATTTATTAGCTGTTAAATTTATACGCAAAACAAAACTAAAAAAAAAACAACAACAACAACCACAAAACAAAGGCAAGAGCAAAAGCAAATGCAAATGCAAAACAACAAAACAAAACATAAAAAAATAAACTGATTTTCAATGTTAAAATTAAAAATTAAACTAATTTTATTCGAATTTAGTTAATAGGCTGGGCAGTGAAAACCAAAAGATCATCAAGACACACATGTGTGGTAACTAATTTTAAGCCACCACATTTAGTTACTTGTACTAACCCAAACATAACATACTACACCTACACGCCACACCCACATACTTACACATGCACCTACACATACACATACATAACAGATTAAGAGACAATGGTGTCAAAAGCCGCAGGTGAAAGCGAGAGAATCAGTTTGCGCAATGGCAAAAAGTGTCAAATTTTATTCTACAAATTAATTATTTAGTAAGAGAAATTAACAAAGCATAAAAGAAAACATATCCACTGCAAAGAAAACCAATTTAACCGCAACATAATTATATTAACCAACAAACAGCAAAACAAATACTCAATCAAACAATGCATACATATAGAGGCAAACATATCCCAGATCAACAATCTATATACAAACCCATTTGATTTCCCTCTATCCCCATTTATGTATATCTTATATCGTGGACTATATTTTGACTTGAGGAATTGATAAGAAAGTGATTTCCCTTGTCAACACACTCAAAAATTGTATGCTTTTCTATGACTTTTTCCACTCACAGACCCAAACGACAAAAAAAAAAAACAAAAGAGGAAAACTTATGAGAAAAACTTGATTACAGGAAATTGTTAATAGCATAAAGAGTATTAAATATAAAACCATACCACTTGTAAACAATAATGGGGAAAAGAAAGTCCCCAACTGTTGGCTTCACTTCCTGAAGATTTCAATGATCAGAAAACCACTCGATGATCAGAAGAGGAGCGGGCCAACAAGAAGGCAGGCGGCAGTGGCGGCGATATACAGACGATATCATGCGAAACTATTTCGTGATTTTAGTGACAAATATATTTCGCTGAGGACAAACAATTTGAAGCAATCATTTTTGAAACCAAAACCCTTCGGTTCCCCAATCGGAAACGGTGCGGAATGGGACTGGGTGATGAATGGAGTGAAGTGAAGAGAAGAGAAAGAGAAACGGAAATGCGAAATCAGAACAGAAGCCGTATATCTATATATAAGTAAATTATATATCTATATATAAATATACATAAATTAAATATATTATTATTATTATTATGTACACTTGTATTTAATTGTATTTGAAATATTTAGTAAATTTTTTGCGCAAGTTACAAAGAAAAAAAAAACAAAAAACACACAAAAAAAATGAAAGACGAGAGCTATGGGGCTACAGAAGTACAGAAGGGTAAACAGCGGGTAACTGGGATTATTTGTACGATATGATAATAATGAAAGGGATAAATAAATAATGTGTATGTGTGTGTATAAGAGAAATAGCTCAAACAGATTTCACAAACATTTTTACTAATATGCGTGTAATTAATGTAATTATTAACGACATTTTGTTGACAACTTGTAAATTTGCAAAGGAAAAATACGTGTAAGAAAAGCAATTTTAATGGTGCCTTAAAAACCAAACCAAGCAAATTTCTTCTTGCCTGCCTTGCCTGCCCCCCCTCAGAGCGAACCCAGTGGCAGACACCACTGTGCTGCCACTGGATGGCATGTGAGTGTTCCACTCCATTCTACTACTCTTCATGAACACTTCTCGACATGTGCTCGATTGGATCGGAATCGGATCTGCTCTGATCTGATCGGATCGGATTCAATTGAATTGGATAAGATGAGATGAGAGAGCACACTGTTATTGTATAATAAATTTAGTTATAAATGCGCTACCTATTCCGACACAAGAAGAACTTATCCCTTTTAACGACACACGGTGACCCACGATTGCTCAAAGCTGTCCGAGTGTGTGTGCCCGTTTCGTTACACTTCAAATTGAATTTGAATTAGAATCTGAATTTGAATTTGTATTTGAATACTTAGCTGCAGTACGCGTAGTGGATGCCTACCTACACTGAGACCCAGAAGTATATCAACAATTAGCCATACAACAAACCAAAAACAAAAGCAAAGAAAACCAACATATTACTACAAAAAAATTATATACATATACAGCAATCCAAAAACACATGCATATTAATGTTTCTCTCAGTGTAATTACAAATCACTTGAATGTATTTGCTCACATTTTTACAATATGTACATGTCGAAGAACTCTACACAATAAGCAACAAAAGTAAAAGCATTTAAGGCACTTGAAACGATCGATCGATCTATCGATGGAACCGTTGGTTGGACGCAAGATCATTGTTAAGGTAACTGCAACTGTAGGAAAAGATTATGTGAAAAAAAAGTATAGAAGAAATCCACAACAAGAACAACAAAAAAAAAAACAACATATTTATATACATATATAAAGTAAAAATGAAACTAATTCTTAAGGTATTTTAGATATTCTTATTTAATATCCAGAAAACAAGACAAGAAATTATACGTGAAGAGTTTTAATTTAGAAGCTGAGCTAGGGAGAGAGAAATGGGAAGATCGGGTCTAAGTAATGCAAATATAAACTATATGAATGTGTACATATATGTATTAACTAACTAAATATCGGTGTTAGAAATTGTTAAGCAAACCAAAAAAAAAAAATCAGCAAACTCGTGTAATCTG